CGACTCCCCGCTGACTATCAAAGGCCAAGAACGACATTGCTCCAAATCAGGCCATGGAGGTGGTCTTCCGTTTAAGCTCTTTATTTTTGGCCTTCAGTGCGCCTATTTTTGCTCACACATCCTTGTACATACGCTGGAGGAGAGAGAGTTGGGTGTTAACCTGATGGAGCTCACTTGTCCTGTTCTGTAATCGGTGAGCCAATTTTGTGACTGCCGTCACCGTCTCCATACAGGACGTTAGTGTGAAATGATTGGCTTCTATGTCAGATTGAGCTGCCATGATTTGCTCAATCGACATCATAGGAAGGTTAGATAGAGGAATGACAGAAAGAGTAGGAGTAGAAGCACTCGGTCCAGCAGAGCTTATGGTATCATTCAAGTCCGGAAGTAGAGTGAGGGGATGGGATGAGGAAGCCATGGTTTAGAGGTGAGAGGTATAAAAGAAATGAGTTGTAGAGAAATAGAAGAGAATAGACTGAGGTTGGCCTCCTCCGCTCAGTTTATTTTTTTTTTGTCTCTCGATGAGGAAAAAGAACAAAAGATAGCGGTGAAGAAGAGATAGAAGAGAGTGAGGTGAAGAAGAAGAAATAGACGAGTGTGATTAAGAAGAAGGCTAAAGAGAACAGGCTGAAGAGAAGGAGGGAGAGATAGCCAAGGCAAGCGGCAATCAAGGAGAACTGCTTTTGTCGGTCGGCCAACGCAAAAGTGAGGCCGCGTGTTCGATGCGATTTTCAACGAAAAAGAGGGGCGCGGGTGATTCATATATATATATATATATATATGTTTTGATTATCTATTTTTTGATGCCATTTATCACTATCATTTTCCTCCTCCTCCTCTTCCTCTAGATTCTGACCCATGATTTCCTTTTGATAATGTCACAGGGGAGAAATTATATTATGTTATGTATTATGGTATTATTTTCAAATTATGGTATTATTTGAAAACTAATATGATATGGTATTATTTTCAAATTATGATATTATTTGAAAACTAATCTGATGATTATGTATTTATCGTTTGATATCTTAATCTTATATCATGTTGTTGATTAAAGCTTATTTATTACACATGTGCTAACATATGTATTTAGAAATCAAATCAGGGAGCATGACTTGAGGGGGAGCCTTTCTTACTCCCAAATCAAATCAAAACATCATTGTGTGCCATCATCAAAAAATGGAGAGATTGTTAGACTTATTTATTTTGATGACTTATTTAATTATGTTTTAATTTATTTGGAAGAGAAAAATAAAAACAAAATTTATTTTGATGGTTTATTTGAAAGAGAAAAATATAATCAAAATTTATTTTGATAACTTATTTGAAAGAGAAAAATAGAATCAACATTTATTTTGATGATTTTATGTTTTAATAAAATCAAAATTTATTTTATCCCATTATTTCTCACCTAAACCTTTATCCTAAATGTTGTTAGAATGTATTTAATATTTGATTAAATCAGGAGTTCAAACAGCCCAAAAACAGAGGTTCAAACAGCCCAGCACAACAGCAGATCAAAAGATTCAAAAGGTTCAAGTGAAAGATATTCAAATTTATAATAATGGAGTGGAAGATATTCAAATTAGTAATAATGGAGTACAACGGCTATAAACAGCTATAAATTCAAATGACTACAACGCTATAAACGGCTATAAATTCAAATGAATACAACCGCTATAAACGGCTATAATTTTCATTACATATACCAAAGCCTCTAATGTAAACAAGTTACAAAAACCTGAAAATATTCTTTGATCTATAATTAGTCACATCTATTCTCAAAAATTATATACTGAGTCTTATAGCTTTAAGCTCATCTTTCCTGAGTGAGGTTTACAGAAAAATCAGAGCTTCATTTTTATATCTATCTTTGAGAGATAGTTCTTGTAGCTTTCTGTGAAAGCAAAAACACATTCTTTTCACTTTGTAAGAGTGTAGTACACTCAGTATTCTTGACTTAGAAAGTCAGTGTAAAATCTGTGGAGGATTTGCTCCATTTGTGAAAAGGTTGCTAGCACCCTGTGAAGCTAGAGTATAGTGGAAAATCTCGAGTGAAGCTTGAGTGGACGTAGGCCGAGTTGAAGCCGAACCACTATAAATTTGTTTGTCTCTCTCTCCCTTATCTCTTTATTTTATTTTAAATTGTTATAGCGATCCCGGGTTTACCCTTGTTGTACAGTGATCCGGACATGTGTCCGTGGATGTTAGTAGTTGATTATTATCTTGGTTACATCCTTTTTACTTCGTATTTGAGTTATAGGATGTGTTGGGCAGGTTTGTTACAGGTTGGTTGAGTTTAGAAACCAAAACTAGTTGCCCAGATTTTGACCTGTCCGCTCGAGCGGGGGTTTTGGCGCTCGAGCGGGAATTGCACCCATCCAGTATTTCCTGTGCAGTGTTGGACGCTCGAGCGTGGTATTGGCCGCTCGAGCGGGGTTGTGTGAGTGCCGCTCGAGCGGGGAGTTGGAAGCTCGAGCGGAGACCTGGTTCTATAAAAGTTCTAGGAGTGTGTATCCGCCGCTCGAGCGGGATTGTTGACGCTCGAGCGGGAGTCTGTGAGTGACGCTCGAGCGGGGTGTTTGACGATCGAACGAGGCGACTGGGTTTAAGTTCCGTGTTTTGACTTTTCAAATCACTTTTTCACTTTCTCTTCTCTCTCCTACTTTTCCAAAAACACCATTGTTGAGCCTCTCACTCTAGAACTCTACATTCTGTCTAGGTTTTGATCTAGTATGAGTGATTTGCTCATCTTTGGCCTTTACAAAAAAGTTGTTGATCGTCGAGGGCTACATTTTAATCTGAAAATTTCGAGATTTGGAGCACATTGGGTTTTGTCATCTTCTCCCTTGGAGCTCCGAATTTGAGGTAGGGATATCCTACTCCTCTCTATGGATTTTGTCTTTAAATTTTGGTATTTTGAGATGTTGGGGTTGGTTTGGTAAATTTGTGAAGGTTTGGGGCTTTTGTGTTATTTTACAAAGGTTGGGGTTTTATTTATAATAAACCTAGATGCATGTTTGGTATAGAGAAATGGAATAGATGTTGAATCATTGATGAAAATGGGACCCAAGGGTTGTAATGGTAATTACGAAAAATGACCTAATTACATTGTTTGATTAATTGAGATAATTAATTGTGAGAAATGAGGAAATGAAATGGAATTGTTGAGATTGGGAATGTATGGGGTAAAAAGGTGTAGTTGAATTATTTATCACTCACCGAATTGAAATGTCGATTGAATATCCACTGTGCATTTATTTTCTGTTTAGAGATAACTGCTTTGGGCTATCGGTGGAGGATAGTCGTGATTGTTGTAGACAATGCATGATGATTAGGCAAATGAAAACTAATCAATGGAATGTGTCATGGAATTTGACGGTTGATAGAATACATTAACTGTATGTATTGAGTGATTGTATATAGAACCAATGTGTTTGTATACGTTATGTGTAGAGGAGAAGATGGGGGATGTACTCCGCGGTTTAGGGGAAAATGGGGGATGTACCTCTAAACCGGATAGTATTGGGAGAAGATGGGGGATGTACTCCGCGGTTTAGGGAAAAATGGGGGATGAACTCCGTAGATACAGCTCATATGCTTGTCTAGAGAAGTGAAGATAGAGCTCTTATGCTTATCTTTGTGAAGTGTGGATATAGCTTATATGATTATCTGTGAATGTAGGATATTGTTATTATACATATCTGTTGAGAATGTGGATATAGCTTATATGCTTATCTGTGAATGTGGGATATAGTTTTTATACATATCTATTGAGATGATGATAGAGCTAATATGCTTATCTGTTGAAAAAGGGAAAATGAAAAGTAACTTGGACTCATAAGTCGTATGACATAAATATGTGATTTATGTGAATGTATCAGTGTTGGCCATCTATCAATTGCTAATCTTTTAGTCATTGTTCATGGTTGGTTTAGTGTATTTCTACTGGGCTGTGGCTCACCCTATATGGGAATATCATTTTCAGGTACAGGTAGCATGCCACCTCCAAGGACATAGCTTGGGAGGCTAGAGGCGGACATACTTTTGTCGTTTTATTTTTGATGTATTACATGTAAATTCAAGCCAAGGGCTAAATATGTAAATGAGTTAGTACTCTTTTGTTGTAACCAAGTGTTAACTTGGAAAGTTGTAAGCCCATAGGGCATTTGCTTTTGTTGTTAACATGTAATACTTTTGTAATGAAACTCTGATGAATAGAAGAGTGTGGTTATTTCATATGTCAATGAATGTCTTATTTGATGGGTTTAATGTTATTATTTTGAGGGCGTTACAATTGTCATAGCTATATTTCACATTTTTACTGTGCTAAAATCATTAACTAACATAGTTGTTAAGACACTTGTTTTAATTATTTTTATTTCATTAATTATATTTAACTATTGTATTAGTCATAATTTTTATTAGGGTATTATTAATTTTAATTATAAAAACCTAATTCACCCCCTCTTAGGTTGTCTTTTGGGTAACAAACACATAAACCTTGAGGTTCGAAACTTCAAAGTTTTTGCTACATGATGCAGTTTTCCTTTCCTCTATTGCCCTCCTACCAATTGTAAAATAAATTAAATAAAATTTCAAGGTTCTTCTTAATAATCCACCACAAAGATGAGAAAGATGAGAACCTCATTATTAAGGGATGCACAAGCTGAAATCCATCGAGTAGGTGCACACACGTCATTAAATTCACATACAGCTAGACAGATTTAATGATCACCTGATCTCCATAAAGTTAAAATTTTGTGAATAGAAATTTGCTACTATTCAAGGGCGGTACTTCTTACAAATTCTCACAAGATTAAAACAATATGTGGAAAGTGTTTTCCATTATTAAATGTCCGGGTAACATTATAGCATGAGTTGCAACTCTTGCTCCTGCATTCAAGTTTCTTATTCTTTCCAATTTTAATTTTTTTGCTGCAACAATTTTATGGAAAGACTTGATTTATAATGAACTGAAGATAACAACAATTCCCCACCTCTGGAGCCCGAAAGCCCTTGGTTCCAACACAAGGGCCTTCTCTCTTTTGCTTCCCATTCCCTACGAACAAGCAATGTGAGCAATCTTGGTAACAATTTAAAAGATTGTCATATCAAGTCATCCAAGTCAACTAACATAGTCAGCACACCTTTGTTTTTCAGCAGGCCAGCACCAGCAACAGCAATGCCAGCAGAGTGCGCTGGCATTGGAGTAAGGTAAACAAGTTTTCTATCTACTTTTCCCGGAAGTGCGACGACCTTCTTTCTCTTAGGAGCTGGAACACTAAGTGCTTCATAATTTGGACCCTGCATTGCTTTATGCACCAGGCTGATCAACTCCTTCCTACCTTGGCATGGAATCGGTTCCCTCAACCTTTCCGCTGAAGGAGTTCTTGTGCTTGTTGCATCCTTAGCTGAAGTTATTCCAGAGCCATCTGCACCTTGGCTTTTCAACACATTCCTACTGCCTAATTCAGAAAAGGCATTTGTTTGGTCTACGGCCTTCTTTTTCAGGTTTTTGGGTGACAAAAGTGGCTTGGACCTTTTTCCTGTCTGCTTGTTGATTGCTTCCAAAGATTTACTGACCAGAAACTTCTGATTGGTAGGAGGAAGAGATTTGGTGTGGGCGGGAGGAACATGATTAAAACTCACATCATGGCCCACCTTTGATTTGTCTCTGAAATTGTGCAAAGTATTTCCATTAATCCAGTTTTTCAATTATATTCCAGTGAGATCAGATAAACTTCACAGCATGAGGAAAGAAATATAGGAAACACACTCAAGTAGTCTGTCTTACTAGCAAAACTACAAAAATGTTTTATTTGTAGTGACAAGATTGTGAGCAATCTTAGTAAGAATTTAAAAGATTGTTGTATCAAATCATCCAATTCACCTACCATAGCCAACACACCTTTGTTTTTCAGTAACATCAAATTCTTCAGGTTAAAACTCACAGTTTTTGCATTGAATCTACAAAAAACAAACCCCATTTTTATGGCATAAGGAACCAAATAGAATGGAAGAGTTCTGGCCTTTGGCTCAAGTGCTAATGTGGTAATGTGATGGTCGGGCTTGGACTAGATCTTAGGTCATTTATTGCCTAGCAAATAATAGAAAAATAAAGAAGCAACAGCTTACCAATAGCTCCATACTTCTGATGCATATCCTATGTAGAAAAAGGTAAAGAAAAAAGTTATTAAAATAAGAAATTTCTGGAACAATTTGAATGCCAAAGTAAAAATCCCAAGACAAGTAGTATTTCTCACCATAGCAAGGTTAAAATCAATGAGATATCCTTTATTGACCTTACGAGAGAAAAGGAAGTTGCCAGGTTTAACATCTCTATGAACTATTCCCTGAAGTGAAAAAAGAAACACAAAGCTCCATTAGCTCTGGAGAAATCATAACCACCCAAGTAGAACATATTTATCGGTTAGTGTAGTATCCCACCTGCTTATGTAAACCTGCAAGTGCTCTGAACATACAATAGCCATACCACTGGAGCTGGAAAACATCTATTTCTCTCTTCAAGACCTAAACATTTAAAATAAAAACTGAAATCAGAGGAAGAATAGACAAAAAAACAGCCTCTAAAGTTCCATATAGTTACCTGGGGTCTGTCGTGATGAACATGCTCTAAAACAAGGCACTCAGAATTCCCACTCTTGAAAGAGCCTTCATATTTTATGACAAAGTTCTTACCCCTGAATTAGAAGCATCAGTTTCATATTGAATATCAACTTTTGACTTAAGAATATAACGACTGATCCTTGAGTGACCTTTTTCAGTATCCTTACCCAAATCGCTCCAACATCTTCAGTTCATTATGAACATGATGTCTATTAGCATTTTCATGAGGACCTGCAAAACCAAAAAATTCCATTTCACATTAGTAAGCAACTCCATCTTAATACATTTTATTTTGCAACCAAATCAGCAACATGGTTCAACTATTTTGCAGTAATTATGTAAACATGATATGAATTCATGAAATGCACTTACAGAAACCACTGTTATTTAAATCATGCCATCCACAATTTGAAATTCTGATGAAATCAAACATTGAACAACATGAGCCGACTAGTAGTCGTAGCTCCATTTACAGAGGAATATTATTTGTTCACTCTTTTCATATTTAGAACCTATGTGCTGTGACTATTTAAGATAAAAACAAGCAAAATGCACTACTCTCTTTAACATGTGTCGTTTTGATATAGAAAAAAAGGGTTTAGAAAGAAGAAAAAAAAATATAGAATATTATCTAGAACTTTACATCCATGTGTATCCTTCCCGTATGGAAACCAACTAAGTTGTTTCCACAGTGATTCATACAGAGTGTTCATTCTTAAGATTCCAAGTGTTCATCTCTTTTTATATGAAGTTTCAGCAATCAAAGCTATCAAATGAAGCATAATAATATTCATTATTAAACTATAAAACATTGCATTGGACCCATATATTTGAATTTCAAATGAAACAATTTAAATAAGGGATTCATTATTTCTTTCTTTCTTTCTCGTTGTTTTGAAGAAGAAGAAGAAGAAGAAGAAGAAGAAGAAAAAGAAAAGAGAAGACGGAGCAGTTGCAGCTAAACACGTCATCATCATCATCAACATCAACATCTTCATCATAAACATCATCATCAACACATCATCAATAGCCAACAATTTTTTTTTTTCCCTCCTTCATCTTCAGATCAAATCCACTAAAAAAAAAAAAAAAAAATCAACAACATCTTCATCAATATCATCATCATCAACACATCATCATCATGCAAACGAAAAAAAAAGAATCAGATCCGATTCAGATTCAACTCCAGCTCCGACCGCCATCACCATCGATCTTCCTCCTCCGCCATCACCGTCTTCTTCTTTTCCTCCTCCTTCTCCCCATCTTTTCTCCTTCTTCTCTCTTCCTCTTCTCTTCTCTTCTCTTCTCTTCTCTCTCTCGCCTCTGTCTATGTTCAAAAACAATAAAAGGAAGAAAAAAAAAAAAGGGAAGAAAAGGAAGAAACAAAAAAAATAAAAAAAATGAAACCCAAAACAACGTCGTTTTGGGTTTCGAGCTAATTCGAGTCAACGATTCCGAACCCTCAAACAATTTCCTTATTTTTTAGTTGTTAATCATAATTTATCAAATGGTCAAAAATGTCAAGTACACATGCCATAATCTTATTGAAAAAAAATATATATTATATTGAAAAGTTTAAAATTTTTAAGTATTAACTTTAAATTAATAAATTTGACATAAAATTTCACTTGACTACCAAAAAAAATATTCAAAGATAAAAATAATGGTCTACATCTATTGTGAGTGAATGTCACATCTCAATAACTCTAAATTTGTGTCATACGCTCACTCTTAGGATAAATTTTTATGGTCTATTGCATTTTTTAGGCTAAAAACGTAGTCCTTGAGCTAGCCCAGTATAATAATTGATGACATGTGTTTTTTATTAAGAACTTAGAACATGTAGAATAAAAACTCTCTTTTGTGTACCTTTGATAAAAATGAATAAAATCTAACTAATTATAAATTATTTTTACTACATATTTTAGATAAATTTTATATTATTATTTAAATTTAAAGACTAATTTTTCATTAGGGTGAATTACACTAAAGGTCAATATAACTTGGGTTTTGTGTCACTTTGGTAGACTTTTCAATTGTGACACATTTGACCCTGAATTTTGAATTTTGTTTCAAATAAGGACAATTGAAAATAACATTGCTCAATTTCAAGGGCAAAATCATCAATTTAATAAAATATAAATTAATTTGACAAAAATAAATGTCAAAAAAATATTTTTGAATTTCTAAAATTATTTCTATCTACTAAAGATGAAATTATGTAAAATTGATAAATTTTTTAGACATTTATTTATTTATTTATTTTACCAAATTAATTTTTATTATATGTTTGGATGATGATCATGTAACGGGTGGCTATTTTTATTTTCATTAAATTAGCTTCTATTTTTTCAAAAGTCAAATATGGCGACAACTTTGATATCTTTATTAAACTAATCCATTAAATCAAAAAATTTAAAACTAAAAATATTTTATATATTAAGTATATTGATTCCACATTAAAAGCCTAACAATCACTCATTACATGATCATCATCCAAATACATAATAAAAATTAATTTGGTAAAATAAATAAATAAATGTCTAAAAGATTTATCAATTTTACATAATTTTATCTTTGGTGGGTAGAAATTATTTTTAAAAATTCAAAAATATATTTTTAACATTTATTTTTATCAAATTAGTTTATATGTTATCAAATTGATGACTTTGCCCTTAAAATTGAGCAATAGTATCTTCAATTGTCCTTATTTGGAACAAGTTTCAAAATTTAGGGTCCATATGTTACAATTGAAAAATCAGGGACCAAAATAACACGATTTTCAAACTATAAAGATTATTAGTATAATTCGCCCTTTTAATTATTTATTTATACCCGTACATAACACAAGTAATATGCTAATATATGTTATGCTATAATAAAAGCACATTATCTATAAAAATAGTCAAAAAAAATTGTTTCTAAATTTTTTTAGTATTGAGGTGTTGGTGATGGTTGTTGATTTATAAGACAAGTTGACCATAATGGCTACTCTCTTTTATTTTTATTTTTTTTAAAAATCCCAATATGATGGTATCAATTAACTCACAGCCAACAAAAGATAGTAAACAACATAGAACAGTTGCTTTAATTATCAAAGTCGATTGCTTCCCTTCGATCCATTGATAATAAAAGCAAAAAATCAACAAAATTGAGCCGATTATGCCCATAATAGGAAGTGAAAACAACAGCACACATTAAATAAAAAGTATTTGTGGTGATGTGAATTTGGAAATACTTCTTCAATTTAGTGAAACCCTTGAGATCCTTGTGATGTTACCTGAAATAGAAATGAACGCTTCAGTCGGTAGTGCTGGAATTAGTACTCTGACGAGCAAGTTAGCTTCTTGAACAGACTTGCGTTTTCTTATTTCTTAAAGGTATAAGTTAATTATTTTACCTCTCCTTTTCCTGAGCTCTTCTTCACCTTTTATAGTTTCGTCCTCGAATCTCATTCCACATAACCTAGCCTCTCATCATTGCCCTCTAGGGCCTATTTTCATACTATACTTTTAAATGGAAATCGTCATCCCACTAAATGGGCCCCTTGCTGATCTGTACTATTCAAACTTCATTGTACACCAAAAATATCTTCAACGTTCCTACCCACTATGCTCACTCGACGTTTGATGATTACCCAGCCCAACGAGCTTAGGCCTTGTTCGGCCCATATTGGATGGGCTGGGCTATTAGATGTCATGTAAGATATAATTTGAATTTGGCTCTCAGAGTATTAAATAGAAAAATATTAAGAAAATATAAAAATATCAAATCATTAGATTTGTTAATTTAGGCAACGCCAATATCAGTTACCATTTTTAATTTATAGTTGCTTTAATCATCAAAATCGACTGTTTCCCTTCGATCAATTGATAATAAAAATAAAATAAAATAAATCAACAAAATTGAGCCGATTACGCCCATAATAAGAAGTGAAAACAACAGCAGAGTATTAAATAGAAAAATACTATATTAAGAAAATGTAAAAATATCAAATGGTTGGATTTGTTAATTTAGGCTTTGCCAATGTCAGTTACCATTTTTAATTTGAGTTAATTATACGATTGGTTCCTAAAGTATACTTATGTCACACTCTAGTCCCCGATCTTTAATTGTTCCACTTTGATCCCTAAGTATGTGATTGTCACACTTTAGTCCCTATTATCAACACTATTTGAAATCAGTAACGGGAAGAGAAGGGCTATTTTTAGAATATTACCAAAAAAATGTAACAAAATTAAAATATTGGGAATAAAAGTGCAAGAAAATGCATATCTTGGAAATTAAAATGAAACAAACTGAATATTATAGGAACCAAAATGCTATAAAATGCATACTTTGTGACCATATATGTATTTGGTCATTTTGATTTTTTTTTTGTAAAATTTCAAATGGAGAACATCAAAAAAAGTGGAGAGTGAAAAATATTATAAAATGATGAAGGTACAAATGATTTATGCATTAAATTTTGCAAATAAATCTTGTAGCTTCATTAATTGGGGGAAGAAAAAAAAAATCATTCTCTACTTTTTTAAAATTCCCCCATTTCAAAACACCCCTTCTCCCCATTACTGATTTTGAACGGCGTTAATATCAGAGATTAAAGTGTAGTAAATTACACATCCTGAAGACAAAAATGAACAAACGAAGAATTAGAGTGTAATAGAACACATACTTTGGGGACTACTAGTGTAATTTTACCCTTTTGATTTTCTTTCTTTGCTTCTTTTAATGCTAATAATTGAGGGTGATTGCCAGATTTAGTGAATATATATAGTAGGTGTTTAGAAAGTTACTATTTTAGTAGGTTATTTTAATTTTTAGCTATTTTAGTATTATTCATTTTAGTAAGTTAAAATTTTTGTATTTGAGAAAATAGTTAAATTTTTTTTTTAGTTGGATGTGATGTTTGTGAGAGAAAAGTGAAATAATTATGGATGTGATGTGACATTTTATTTTATTAACTATTTTAGCCTATTTTATCTTTTTGTAAATTTTAGCTAAAAAAATAAAAATAAATTAAAATCCAACTTGCCGAACACTCATTGGACCAACTTTATCGACGGAGAAAGACTCAATTGTTTATGGCCAATTACAACTTACATCATAGTTGGTTTCGGCATAAAAATTGGGCCTATTGTTAGATAATGTTTCAATGGGATTACATAATTAAATGTGGTGTTATCATTTATAAGAAGCCTATAATTTAAGTGATTCAATTTAGTTAATAGGCTTAAGGGTATATGTGTTATGGACCTAATGTGTAGATACTAGTTGTATAATTTCTATTTCTATGAGGGGCAGAAATAGAAATTAAAACATATTGGTTAAAGTTGGTTTTCATTACCTTTCAGTTTTAAAACCAATAATGATTAATTTATTGGTTTTCATTACCTTTCAATTATGAAAACCAATTACAACCTTTAAAAGGTTATGGTCCCTATTCCTTCCCAAGTGAAAAAAGGTTTGTTTTCTAAATCCTCTCAAGGAGAAACATAAGACACCAAAGGGGAAAGGATTAGAAGGCAATAACATAATCAATAACCAAGAGTTCATTGATAATCACGTTTCCGTTTAACCGTTCATCAATGGATTCAGGTATGTCATTTTGTCTTGATTTCTTGATGATATACATGGTAGATGATCCGAAACATGAAGTTTCATGTTCTGAAATTTATAAACTCAATTGGTATCAGAGCCAGCATATCATGTGTCTTATCAGAATTGATATGCTTTAGTTTCCTGGAATCAGATTCTAAATTTTCTTATGGATGTAAATTATGTTTTTTCTCCTGTTTTGTTCTGTGAAAATGGCAATATGTTTTCTGGAATTGTAGAATGATTCGGTGGGCAGTTTTTTTTGGACCCGT